CCATGCCCTGGATGGAGCAAACGAGAAACTGCTGGATGAGGTGCCACGAGGGGGGCCTGGGGCAGCCTAAGAATTGGCGCCTGCCCTGCAGGCAATGGGAGCCTGGCAAGGCAGAGACACGATCATCACAGGAACCACAGGTATCTACAGAGCAGACAGACTTTGGGGAAGAGGACGAAAGGCCGCTGCCACCTCCAGGTGAGCCGGTGAGATGAAAGCCAGGAAAGGTGAGCTGATTTGTGTGAGCCAGACACCGGTCCTGGCTGCCACAGAGTTGGACTGAGGGTTTAGGATACAGAAGGCAGAAAGGACAGGATTCAGGGATGAAACGGGTAGCAGCTGGGGATGGCGAAACCTCTAGGACTGTCATTTCCAGCCGGCACAGCAGAGTGGATGGGCAGTCTGGGGGAAACAGGGAATCAGGAGCAGGCGGCCTCTCCATCCAAGAAGAAACCCCAGCTGCCGCTGAGCAGCTCCCCCCCCGACGAGGGCCCCGGAGGCCTCTGACAGAGCTTCTAGAAGTCCAAAACCTGCCCTCTCCCAACTGTGCACATGCCTGCCTCTCTCTGCCAGTCAGATTCCCAGAGAAAGAGGGAAGGAGATCGGGACCTCCCTGCCCAGCACTGAAGCGGAGCCCAGGACATGAAGGTAACTTAGTCCAACAAGCAGAGCCTCTACGAGGCTGGGCCCCCGGGTGGGAGGCGATTCAACTCCAAAGCCGGCTCCCAGAGACCCCCACCCTCAAGAAACACTGCAGGGGAAGGGAAGAGGTCCAGTGGAGGGTAACACAGAGGTGTCTGCCAAAGGTGAGGGTGGAAGAAACATGTGCACAGATGCCCAAAGCTCATAGAAACAGTCACTGGAAGAATGTCCAGTATTAGTAAGGGAGGACGCCACCCCTCATCCTATCTTACGCCCAATTTCTGCCTCAAAGGAAAAGTAGGAGTTTAAAGAAAAGACAGAAATGAAATCAGTAGTCAGACAGCCCAATGCTGCATTCCAGGCCTGGTAGTTAAAAGACTGACCCCGACTTAACCGGTTTATGTTATCTATAGATTCCAGACATTATATGGAAAAGCACCATGGAAATCCCTGTCCTGTTCTGTTCCATTCTGATTACCAGTGCATGCGGCCCCTGGTCACGTACCCACGGCTTGCTCAATCGATCATGACCTTCTCATGTGGGCCTTGCAGTGAGCCCAGATCACGCCACTGCACTCCAGCCTGGGCGACAGAGTGAGACTCCGTCTCAAAAAAGAAATAAAAATAAAAAAATAAAGAGTTGTAAGCCCTTAAAAGGCACAGGAATTACTCACTCAGGGAGCTCGGTTTTTGGAGACGTGAGTTCACCAATGCTCCCAGCTAAATAAAGCCCTTTCCTTCCACAACTTGGTATCTGAGGGGTTCTTGTCTGTGACTCGTCCTGCTACATTACGAGACTATTATGGCACACACACTAGGGGAATACTATGCAGCCGTGAAAAGAGTGAGGTTTACTGTGTGTATGTGTGAGAAAAACAACCACGAACACCATGCCCTGGATGGAGCAAACGAGAAACTGGCTGGATGAGGTGCACGAGGGGGCCTGGGGGCCAGCCTAAGAATTGGCGCCTGGCCCTGCAGGCAATGGGAAGCCTGGCAAGGCAGAGACACGATCATCACAGGAACCCACAGGTATCTACAGAGCAGACAGACTTTGGGGAAGAGGACGAAAGGCCGCTGCCACCCTCCAGGTGAGCCGGTGAGATGAAAGCAGGAAAGGTGACTGATTTGTGTGAGCCAGACACGGTCCTGGCTGCCACAGAGTTGGACTGAGGGTTTAGGATACAGAAGGCAGAAAGGACAGGATTCAGGGATGAAACGGGTAGCAGCTGGGGATGGCAGAAACCTCTAGGACTGTCATTTCCAGCCGGCACAGCAGAGTGGATGGGCAGTCTGGGGAGAACAGGGAATCAGGAGGCAGGTCGGCCTCTCCATCCTAAGAAGAAACCCCAGGCTGCCGGGCTGCAGGCAGCCTCCCCGACAGAGGCCCCGGAGGCCTCTGACAGAGCTTCTAGAAGTACCAAAACCTGCCCTCTCCCAACTGTGCCCAGCCTGCCTCTCTGCCAGTCAGATTCCCAGAAAAGAGGGAAAGAGATGGGACTCCCTGCCCAGCACTGAAGCGGAGCCCAGGACATGAAGGTAACTTAGTCAACAAGCAGAGCCTCTACGAGGCTGGGCCCCGGGGTGGGAGGCCATTCAAACTCCAAGCCGGCTCCCAGAGACCACCCTCAAGAACACTGCAGGGGAAGGGAAGAGGTCCCAGTGGAGGGTAACACAGAGGTGTCTGCCAAAGGTGAGGGGTGGGAAGGGAGTCATTCTAGGCAGGAGGAGTTGCAAAGGGACAGGCCCAGAAAGAGAAGGGAAGATGGAGAGAGAAGAGGGAGGCGAGTGGATGGGAGTGGTCTGCTCCGGGAAGGGCAGGCAGTTCCGTAAGACTGTGGCCAGAAGTGGGAGAAGGAAGGTGGAGAGAGAAGCAGGCCACATCTAGCCAGTGGGCCTCATCTCCTCCTTGGCTGAGTTTGTTTACCCACTTCATTCATTCAAAAAGAATTTACAGGCCGGCGCGGTGGCTCATGCCTGTAATCCCAGCACTTTGGGAGGCCGAGGCGGGCAGATCACGAGATCAGGAGATCGAGACCATCCTGACTAACATGGTGAAACCCCATCTCTACTAAAATACAAAAAATTAGCCGGGCGTGGTGGCGGGCGCGTGTAGTCCCAGCTACTCGGGAGGCTGAGGCAGGAGAATGGCGTGAACCCAGAAGGTGGAGCTTGCAGTGAGCCGAGATCGCGCCACCGTACTCCAGGCTGGGTGACAGAGTGAGACTCTGTCTCAAAAAAAAAAAAAGAATTTACAGAGCGCTAAACAGCACGCTAGGCACTGTTCTAGATCCGGGACAATATGGCAATGGCCCTGACAAAGGAGCTGTTCTGGTAGAGGTGACTTTGAGGAAAGCCACAGCCATAAACAAGGAAACAGAGAGTAACATCATTTCTGGCAGGGTAAATGCTAGGCAGAAAAGAAAACAGAAGGATGAATCGAGAGTGTGCAAGTGGGAATGGGGTGACCAGGGAACACAATTCAGCTGAGGTCTGAATGACAAGGAGGAGCTGAAGACTGGGGAGGGAGCCCCAAAGAAAGGAGAGTGGGCCCCCCCCACCCCCCGCAGGCAGGAGCTAACTGCACAAGGCAATTATTTTGCTAATAAGACCACGTTAAGAAAATTAGGCTTTTTTTTTCATTTGTAAAGAACTCATTAGTGAGTTATATTTTTAGTTCTCCCTCCTGGGGATTAGCAATTGGGCGGGGGAGGTTTGTTGGGGCTGATGGGGAGGACTCTGGATTCCTGCAAGAACCTGAAAAGATGCATGTGAGAGGGAGGTGGCAGCAGGGGAGCGGCACCCACCTGCTCCGGGAGGTCATGTCCGGGAAGAACTGCACGAGGGCCAGCAGGTTGTGGTGGTGGTCAGACACCCAGCTCAGGGTGCAGCAGAGTTCGTGGAGCTGCAGGAGAGGGGCACCCCATGGGCTGCAGGGGGACGCTGCCTTCCCGCTGCTCTCGCCTCCCAGCCCGCACAGGGGAGTTAAGTGGGCAGTCACAGAGACCAGGGGCATTCCGATGACCTCCAGGCAATGCCATCCCCACCCAGGGCACTCTAGGGGCCACCCTGGTCCCTCGTGATGGAGCTGTGTGAGGACCAGGCTCTGGGCGTGTGGTACCTTCCCCGGCCACTCCCGGATGTTCTCCAGGAGCAAGAGCAGAAGCTGCTGGAGGTCAACCTTGGGCAGCAGGCGGAGCCCCATGTCCAGGCCGGCGCGGCACAGCAGCTCTATCAGTCCCACGAGGTTCTCGTCAGTGTAGGCCCCCGGCTGGGCCTGGGCACACAGCGCCAGAAACTAGAGAGGAAGAAGAGGGCAAGGGTGGCCAGGCTGTGGGGGAACGGGAGAGGACTTCGAGGACCAGTTCCCTGGGAGACACGTAGGCAGGAGGGATGGTACTGTGAGCCCCGCGGTCATGCCGGGTAGGAGCTCAGGAAACAGTGAGGCCAGGACTCGAGGCCCCTGCAGGGTCCTGAGTGGCAGGCACAAGTGTGGAGTGTGTGTTTGTCAGAGGTGTTTGAACCAGAGCGACTCCATGTTGAATAGGGGCTGAGTAAAATAAGGCTAAGACCTACTGGGCTGTACTCCCAGGAGGTTAGGTATTCTTACAGGATGAGAGAGGAGGCTGGCGGAAAGAGGCTGGCCAGATACCACCAAAACCAAGATGATGACTAGAGTGACCTCTGGTCGGCCTCACTGCTCATTACATGCTAACAACGCATTAGCATGCTCAAAGATACTCCCACCCGCACCGTGACAGTTGACACATGCCATGGCAACGTCAGGAAGTCACCCTATGCCGTCTAAAAAGGGGAGGAACCCTCGGTTCTGGGAATTGCCCATCCCTTTCCTGGAAAACTCATAATCCACCCCTTATTTAGCATATAATCAAGAAATAGCCATAAAAATACTATACCAGCAGCCCTTGGTATAGTAGCTGCTCTGCCTATGAAGTAGCCATTCTTCATTCTTTTGCTTTTTTTTGAGACAGAGTCTTGCTCTGTCACCCAGGGTGGGGTGCAGTGGCTCGATCTTAGCTCACTACAACCTCTGCTTCCCGGGTTCCAGCAATTCTCCTGCCTCAGGTTCCCAAGTAGCTGGGATTACAGGCACACGCCACCATGCCCGACTAATTTTGGTATTTTTAGTAGAGATGGAGTTTTGCCATGTTGGCCAGGCTGATCTTGAACTCTGAACTGCAGGCGATCCACCCGCGTTGGCTCCCAAAGCGCTAAGATTACAGGCATGAGCCACCGTACCCAGCCTATTCGCTTACTTTTTAAATAAACTTGCTTTCACTTTACTCTATGGATTTGCTTTCTTTTTATTTTTGAGATGGAGTTTCTCTCTTGTTGCCCAGGCTAGAGGGCAGTGGCACAATCTCAGCTCACTGCAACCTCCACCTCCTGGTTTCAAGCGATTCTCCTGCCTCAGCCTCCATACCTGGCTGATTTTTGTATTTTTTGTAGAGACGGGGTTTTGCCATGTTAGCCAGGCTGGTCTTCAACTCCTGACCTCAGGTGATCCACCCGCCTCAGCCTCCCAAAGTGCTGGCATTACAGGCATGAGCCACTGCGTCTGTTTTTGTTTTTTTTTTTTTTTTGGGATGGAGTCTCACTGTGTCACCCAGGCTGGAGTGCAGTGGTGCCATCTCAGCTCACTACAACCTCTGCCTCCCAAGGTCAAGCAATTCTCGTCTCAGCCTCTTGAGCAGACCGGACTACAGGTGTCCACCATCATGCTCTGCTAACTTTTTTGTAATTTTAGTAGAGATGGGGTTTCATCATGTTGGTCAGGCTGGTCTGGAACTCCTAACCTCAAATGATCCGCCTGCCTCAGCCTCCCAAAGTGCTGGGATTACAGGCGTGAGCCGCCACGTCTGGCCCCAATTCTTTCTTGTGCAAGATCCAAGAACCCTCTCTTGGGGCCTATATCAGGACCCGTTTCCCATAACACGGTTTCTGCAGCATCCGGCCCACAGCCAGCACAGTGCCTGCCATGGTGCTGAGCTCGCCAGAGATTCTCCGTGACGCTCCCCGAATTAAGCTGCTGAATGGGTCTGAACTACGAGCCGACAGTGCCCTGGGTGAGGCAGGCAGCTCGACTCACCTTGTAAATGTGGCCCAGGCTGATGTCCAAGGCCACCTCTTGGGGAGCGTCCTGCTCCTTGTTCTCACTCAGGCCAGCCTTGCCTGGAAGCACCCTGTGGTAAGACAACAACAGTGACGACGGGAAACCCAGGACAGGGCACGGGAGCAGGAGTGAGGCGCAAAGTGGGGCACTGCTGCCCTGAGGCTGCTCATCTGCTGGGCACGGCAAATCCCTCCACACAGATGATCTCACGTTGTTTCTGAGGGCCAGGAATCCAGGGGCAGCTCCGTTGGGTGGTCCTGGCTCGGGGGTCTCTCAGATGTTGCCCTCAAGATGTTGGGTGGGGCTGCGGTCACCTGAGCCTGACTGGGCTGGAGGGCCTTCCTCCCGGCTCACTTACCTGGTCACTGATCCGCAGGCCCCAGGGCCTCTCCACAGGGTTTCTCCACGTGGCCACTGGTTCTCCAAGCCAGCGGTGAGAAAGAGAGGGAGCGAGAAGATGCCCAGGACAGAGCCGCAGCCCTCCATAACCTAACCTTGAAAGTACATCCCATCTCTTCTGCTGGTCACACAGGCCGAACCTGACTTGGTGGAAGAGGAGGCTACAGAACCGTGTGAACTCTAGGAGCAGGGGATGCATGTGGGGCGCTCTTTGGGGACTAGTTCCCACATGTTACCACTCAGGTGAGGCCTCCAGCTTTAGTTTTCCAGCACTTGGAAACCAGAAAATCACACTTCCAATCCCCGCAAAGTCCTCGAGTCCTCCCTGGGTCCGCTCCGTAAGGCTGACCCTGCATACACTGCAAAGTGCTCCACGTGGTAGCTGTCACGGGGGCTGCCTCACAAGACAGCAAGTATGGCGGAAATCGGAATAGAAACATCTCTGGAAACCTCCTCCAAAGGTGTCACCCTGAGCTGATGTGCTGTCTGCTGACAAGCCCAGCATGGCGTTTTCCCGAGTGCTGGACCCGATCTGGCTGAGCACCAGGTGATGTAAGAGGCCGGGGCTGGGAAAAGAAAAATCCCCCCGCTTTAAAGACCAAGCCACACCCAGGGTGGTGAGATGCTTACTTAGGGGGGCCTCGGTGGGTCTTACTGGATGGCAGTCTCATCACCCTTCCCACAAGCCTCCCTCCCAGGCACGCGCTCACAGGATGACAGCCTGGGCACGATCACCTTCACCCTGTCGCCAAATGAATACTGTTGATTTCAAGTATGTTAAATGAGCTTAGGATGAGGGTCCCCTCTGTGGTCTCACCCACTTCTCCACTCTTAAAAAAATGGCTTAAGGTTCCTGCTAACAGTGGTAAATGAAGATACTGACAACCACCACACTGCCAATGACAGCAGGCTCCAGGCAGGCCCCTGGCACACGGAGGAAGAGCGCTGTCCTACAGCTCCTGTGAAGCCTCTGCTCTTCTCCACTTGGCACTGAGCTCAGAGGGGAAGGAGGACATCTGTCTCTGAGGTACCAGAAAGTTGGTGCCAACAAACCAAACTTGGTGGGGGAGTGGTGACGGGGGCGGGGCTCAGTCCTTCTCCCAGATTTCAGCATTAGGGCCACAACTGCATGGGTGAGGCTGGCATTTGCACATCTGGGCACAGGCTGTGCCAGTACGTGAAGGGGAGCTCTGGTTCGTACCAGCCTTGAGCGTGCAACACGTGCACCCATAGGCGGGTGCGTTTTCAGGTTTGTCAGCATGGGCAGGCAGCATCGACGACAAACATCTGCAGGAGAGAGATGCTGCCAAGGGGAGAAGGAACGTTGAAAAGTGTGAGGTGGTGACACGTGTTCTCTGAGCTGGAGAGGGGAGTGTGGCTGCGGGGAGAGCCCTGTCCTCCTTGGAAAGAAATGTCAGCCTTCCCAAGTGAAGGCCTGGCTGGCCAGAGTTCCGGAACTCGGTGGGCCCACAGGCTCATGGGCAATATAATGGGGTCCTCTAATCCGTGCCCTTCGGAGGAATGATCTGACTGAACTGCTGGCATCTGCGGCCGCCGTTCTGAGATGCAGCATCGGACGATCCCCCATCAGCTGCCGGCAAGGGGCTGCCAGCAAGGGGTCACAGCCAGGGAATTCAACAGCGTATCTGTTATCCCTGCTCCCTTCTTGGGCTCAGCAGGTTAGAGTGAGCTGAGGGTCCCACCATTGGACTCTATGAGCAAAGCAGCTTCATCAGTCCCACGCCTGGCTCCAGGGTCTGTGGCCAGCAACCAGGAACTGGGTTTTTGTCTCAGAGACACTGTTCAATACTCATTAACCTTATAAGGGACACGCCATTGACCTCCACCCAGGTCTCCGCATCTTCCCCCAAAAGTTGAAAACATAATGAAGTTACCATCTGTATGGCATTCCGACGTTCTCAGAAGGAAGACGGCAGGTACAGTGTATGAGAACCACTGCCGCCTTAAGCAAGAGCTGCCTCCTCAACCAGTTGCCCCTGCGCTTGATAGGACGTCCGGTCAACGTGTTAACTGTCGTGTATTTCCCTCCTTGGCCTCTGCACCAGGCTGCTCCTTTGAAAACCAAGTGGCTGGCAGGGCCCGGTGGCTCATGCCTGTAATCCCAGCACTTTGGGAGACCGAGGCAGGCAGATCACCTGAGGTCAGGAGTTTGAGACCAGCCTGGCTGACATGGTGAAACCCCATCTCTACTAAAAATAAAAAAACCCAAAAATTAGCAGGCATGGTAGCATGCACCTGTAATCCCAGGTACTCAGGAGGCTGAGGCAGGAGAATTGCTTTAACCCAGAGGCGGAGGTTGCAGTGAGCTGAGATTGTACCACCGCACTACAGCTTGGGCAACAAGAGTGAAACTCTGTCTCAAAGAAAAAGAAAAAGAAAAAGAAAAAGAAAACCAAGTGGCCAAGGCTTCTGGCACCAGGAAGCAGCTCCAGGCTTTTGGTCTTCAGCGGCCAGGCCTGTGCTCTAACTTCAGCTGGGCTCGGCAGCAGGAATAGCCTTAGAGGACCATGCACAGCTACCTAAGGACGTCCCTTGTGCTCCTGGGGGAGATGGGGGCACCTGGCAAGGCCCATTCTGTGTAGCAACGTGGGCACGAGCCCCTCTGAGGATGCTGACGAGCTCCCCCACCACCCTCTTCCCTTTCATATCCACGCTCCAGCCTTTCCCCGAAACGTCCTCCCATGTCCCCTCCCCAGTCTCATGACTGAGCAGAGGGCCACTGTTTCCAACAAGGTGGATGCCAGGGGATCCGCACGGCCTAGCTGTGGAAGGACCACATCTTTCTGAACGGAAATCCAGAAGCACTAGATAGGAGATGGTGATGGCCTTTAAGGAAATCCGAGATCAGGAAGACATGGTGGAAGACTTGTCTCAGAGCAACTAGAGACACAGCCCAGTCACGGTGGGGCCACGCACAGATGTCTGACTCCCTCATTTTGAGCCCTGGCCATTGTGAGGTGCTGTGGGTAGCCCAGGAGAAGCCCCAGAGGCATCTGTTCCCCTGGATGGAGGCATCGCTGGAAGTCAGCAGAAAAGAGATGCCTGGGCGGAGCCAGCTCACCCAAGACAGCCTCTGAGTTGGTAAGGAGCCAGGACAAGCAGGACCACAGGGAGAAGATGGCCTGCCGTGGGGTTTCTCTTGTGGCCCATGCATCCATGAAGGATGCCGTGCCCTTGGGGAGGAGATGCTGGAACCTCCTTGATGCTTCCTGAATACCCCAGAGGGGTCACCCTCCAATCCATGACACAAGCAGCAGTCCAGGAAACCTACCCAGGCATTTTCGCCATCCTCCTATCCTGAGGAAGACACAGGGCAGGAGCTCCAAGCAGGAAAGCCTTTCCAGCCCTGAGGGGCTTGGCAGGTGGTCCCCAGCCTGCTCCCAGAGCCAGGGGCAGGGAATTCACCCTGTGGCTGTCAGTCAGGTCCTTGAGGGCAGTTCTGAATCCTCTGATGGGAAATGGTGTCACCAGCCAGGCCAACGTTCTGGGGCCCAGAGGTAGATGTTAAAACGGTGTGTCTGGGACACATGAGGCCCTGGCAGCTCCCCGGGCCCTGATCTAGGACAACACAGCCCTGCTTTCCTCCCACACAAAGCTGAGCTGCGTCTGGGAAAGCTGAAGTCTGCGCAGTGGGGTTTGTGTTCCCAAGTACTTAAGAAGAGGTGTTTAAAGGGCCACAGTTCTCATCCCTCCTGCCCACTCTGCCTCGGGAGACAACAGACTTGTCCCGCAGATGAAGGGCAGGCCGCAGTCAAATCCTGGGAGAACCGGGAGGCAGTGGGGGAGGCAGTGGGGGAGGCAGTGGGGGAAGCAGCTCTTTGCAGAGTGGAGTGAGACCCAGTGGCTACGTCTTCAGTACCGCCTCCCACTCCCAGGAGGACACAGGGACACTCATCACGGCAGTCACAAGTGGCTCTTCTGGACTCCACGGCCCCTGCCTGCCTCAGACGTTCGTTTGTTTTTCTGAGTGTAATTCTCTCCCCCGCTCATCCAAGACGGTGTGCGACTGCAGCTCTGTGCCAGGAGGCGGCAAGCGGCTCATTACACCAGACATGGAGCTGCGAGCTCCGGGAGGGAAAGGGGCAGGAGCGCGGCAGGCTGGCACATGTGTGGGGTATTTATAGCAGAGCTGAGTGCGGTTTGGCTTGGCAGACAATTGCTAAACACAGTCGTGGAACAGGTTCTTAGGAGAGCTCCCACTTTCCATGCAGAGGAACATCTGCCCGCTGAGGCGAGGGAAGGGGAGCCTGGCACCTCCTGGGGCTGAGAGATTGTCAGTGGGAAGCACGGGGTGGGGGGCGGAGAGCGTCCTATACGACAGCCCCTCCAGGCTTCAAAACACTCTGTTCCATCTCTAATCACCTTCTCCAAGGGTTCCAGAGAGTCTGGATGTGCTAAAATGTGCAGAACAAGATGATGATATATAACACTTTTACGACCTTAAGCTAAGTCACCATCCGCCCACCAGAGCTACTTACGCATCACGTGGCGCTCCTCCCCGCAGGCAGGGACCAGGCAAAGGCAAATGATCATGACTGTCCACCAGCAAGCCAGCCCGGGGCTCAACGGGGGCACTCACAACACAAAACTGAGGGTTGTGGGAACGTAAAAGCATGCCCTGCTGTTCCCAAGTGGATACCAGGTAAGGGGCCAAACAAGTGGCTTGAAGAGACTCAAGGGACTGGAATGTGTCTGCAAGGATATTAACCAGGCTTTGAAGTCTGGGTTTCACCAGAGAGGAGCAGGCAGCAGAGGCGGAGTCAGAAAGTGCCAAAAACAGGCTCGTCCATCCCGGGGGCTTCCCATCTCCCCGAGGCTGGGAGCAAGGAAATTCCTTCTTGGTGTGATACTCAGATCCACAGGTGGGGGGGTGTGGTTGTTCTGTAATTCCCTACACATGGGAAAGAGCCTGAGTCCAGCACCTTCCAAACAAACAAGACAACAGGTGGCTGGGTGTGGGGTGGCTCATACCTGTAACCTCAGCACTTTGGGAGGCCGAAGCAGAAGGATCCCTTGAGCCTAAGAGTTCAAGACCAGCCTGGACAACATATGGAGACCCCCCAACCTCTACACAAAATTAAAAAATTAGCCAGGCGTGGTGGTGCGTGCCTGTAGTGGTAGCTACTCAGGAGGCTGAGGTGGGAGGATCACTTGAGCCTGGGAGGTGGAGGCTGCAGTGAGCTATGATTGTACCACTGTATTCCAGTCTGGGTGAGAGAGAGAGAGAGACGCTGTCTCTTAAAAAGAATGAAAGAAAAAGGCAGTGAGGAAGGAGAAGTACTCACCTGCCACCATGCCAAAAGGGCCCCAGAGGGTACAGGGCGGGACTGTGGGCACCCAGGCTGTGGAATGCCTCCCTGACCTCTTGCAGCGAGGGGCACCACAGGTGCACGTCTTCACCTGTCAGGCCAAAGGGGACAGAGAGTTAGAGCGGGGAATGGAGGGCAGGGCGCACCGCTCCCACGAAAGGGGCTGGCCGTGACCCCTGGCCCAGGGTAACCAGTTTTTGCCTTCTCTGACACCACAGGTATTATCTGGAGAAATGAAGCAACTGGTGGTTTCCAAGCACTTCCAGAGCTTTGTGAATGTCAATGTTTTCCTGAATGTTCTCTTACCTGGTCTTCAAGGTATGGCTGCACTTGGGACAACTGCTCCCTGACCATCTGGCCATCCACATCAGGCAGTGGTCAGGGTGCTCGGCTGCCCACAGCCAAGTGGCACGAAGAGTCCTGTGCCACAGGCCCCGAGCTACAAGGCTCACTGGACACCAGGTTCACATCCTCAGACTCTCTGCGGCAAAGCACTGAGGCCGGCGCTCAGCCCACTGTGGCCTCTGCAGCACTCTTGCTGCTGCAACATTTAGGTGTCCCCGGTCCGCCATCCCTGCTGGGAGCACACCTCGCCTGCCTCCCACAGCCTGGGGTGTGTCTCCTCAGCAAGTGTGCGCTGTGGGGACCAGCTTCCCCTGACCGATTTAACCAAACATCCATGATAAAGTCTGACCACATCAGCCAGGTGCAGTGGCTCACACCTGTAATCCTAGCACTTTGGGAGGCCAAGGCAGGCAGATCGCCTGAACTCAAGAGTTCGAGACTAGCCTGGGCAACATAGTGAAACCCTGTCTCTATAAAATACAACAGAAATTAGCCGGGCATGACAGCATGTGCCTGTAGTCCCAGGTATTCAGGAGGCTGAGGCAGGATAATTGCTTGAACTCGGAGGCGGAGGTTGTAATGAGCTGAGATCGGGCCACTGCACTCCAGCACGCCAGCCTGGGTGACAGAGTGAGACTCCGTCTCTCCAAAAACAAAAAAAAATCTGACCACATCAACAAACAGGAGGAACCTTACATACTCAGGAGATTTTTTTCTGTCAGACTACTTAAGGATATTCTTACAAGCAGGAGAGTAGAAAAATAAAAAAGAATGTGTCCAGGCATCTTCTCTAAGGATGGCTACCCAAGACCTCCCACCCCACGTGTTCTCTGCACCGTGAGCTCCCACACCGCATCTAGGAGCAGAGCCAACGTTTCCACACTGCTGTCATTCCTCAACATTATCCGACTTAGCAGTTGACTTGCTTTTCCTTCTGTCTCTCCCCAGTACAACAGGAGTTCCGCAAGGGCAGGGGCCACATCTGTGTTGGTCATCTCTACAGGCCCCATGCCTAAAACCGTGGCCAGTGCGTGGAAGAATTAGAACGAACGGACGGAGAGAATCCAAACCAAATCTGACCAAGTAGTACACAGCTAAGAGGGTGTTTACATGCCTCCAAAGCTCATATGTTGAAATTTAATCCCAAGTGTGATAGCATCAAAAGGTGGGGCCTCTGGGAGGAAAATTAGGTCATGAGAATGGAGCTCTCACAAATGGGGTCAGTGCCCTAGTAAAGAAAGGAGGTCTGAGGGAGCTGGTTGCCCCTTTTACCCCTCTGCCACATGAGGAATTGGCCAGAAGACCTCATCTCCGGGGCAGAGAGCAGCTCTCACCAGACGCCAAATTTGCTGGTGCCTTGATCTTGGACTTCCCGGCCTCCAGAACTGTAAGCAATCCATTTCCCAGTTTATCAATTACCCAGTCTAAGGTGCTTTGTCATAGCAGCTCAAATGGACCAAGACAGGGAGACTGACAAGTCCTAAGATGGGCTGGCAGTATCCAGGAGGCAGATGTTAAATTTGACAGCGGGTAGGGCACCAGAATCAAGAACCTGGAAGCTGGGTGAGGGACACATCAGAAGCACATACTTGAGCCTTCACCATTCAGGAGGGTGAGCGCCCCGCCCTGAGGACCCACTTCAGCACACTCCACTGTGTTCAGGAACTAGCCAGGTATGGAAGGTAAAGAGGCAAGCTAGAGGAGACCTGGACCTCAAGGAGCTCACGGTCTAGGAGGAACAGAAGCCAGATCAAGAAATACACGTGAATGTCTTTATGCAAAAATCAAAGCAGGTAAAAGGTACAGAGCCTTCTCCGAGGGGCGGGTGTTACCTGGGGGTGGTGAGGGGACAAGACAAGGAATATGAAATGTGGAAGGTGGAATGGGAATGTCTCTTTTCTGACAGAGACAGAAAAGACGGAGGCAGGGCAGCAGAAAGCAGCATGGCATGTCCAGACGGAGGCAGAGCAGGCACAGAGCAGGGACGGCTGCAGCGGGTGGGGACTTCTGCAAGGACCACTGCAAGAACCAGTTTCCTAAGATCCCCGAAAAGTGCTGGCAGCAGTCCTGCCCAGCTGCAGTGCTGGCAGACGGCAGGATGGCGGACAGAGGGTCTCTGAAACCTGCCCAAGGACATTTCTTCGGCAGGCATCAAGTGTCTCTCTTTGGAAATGTATATGGGTCGAGACTTAGCAAACAAGTAATTAGACTCTTGGAGGAGGAAAAACTTTCTTGTTTGTTTTTTTTTCCTCTCTTGGGCAACTTAACAAGTAAAGAGTGGTAATGATACCCCTTACTCGCCTCACAAACGAGCTGGGAAGAATGAAGTCTGCAAAACACAATGAGACTCCACTGGAAAGAGAACTGTTCACCAGGGCCTTCGGGGGACTGTGCACGTATGTGCATGCACCTGTGGGCGGGCAGATGAACTTTCCAGGGAGGGGAAGACAATCAACCTAGGGCAAGGCCCCAGGAGGCCCAGGTGGGCTGGAACCTCCTGCCAGCAGCCTCAGACCCAAAGGGGGTAGTGCCTGCCTCCCCTCGAGATCCCCGTCGCAGCCCACACAGGGGCATCTTCTGCTGTGAAACCCCCTGACTCACAGGCAGCAGTGCCTACTCTGCCAGCCTCCACCTGGACACCATCCCGTCCCCCCTTCTCCCACCCAGCAACCGCTCCACAGAACAGCACAAGCCAGGCCAAGGTGTCAGGAGCAGTGTCAGGGGAGGGGCCTGGGAGGCCTCGGGACAATTCAGTCCCCATCAGCAGCCCTGGAGGCTGGTGACTTGAGGACAAGAAAATACCACTCCAGAGCCCATAATTAACACTGCCTAGAAGTGGGCCATGCCCTCAGCTTTTCCTGAGCTCTGTTTGTCCCCATGAGGGCTTTCTGGAGAGCTGACACAGAGGAAACTCAGACGCCAGGCTGCCAGGCTCCAGCTCCCCAACTCAGTTCCTCCAGACACAGAACAGTCGTTTTAGGTGATGCCCAGAGGAGCACTGGAGCACTGTGTCTTTTAAAATGCCAGCATGGGCTGGGCATGGTGGCTCATGCCTGTAATCCCAGCACTTTGGGAGGCCGAGGTGGGTGGATCACATGAGGTCAGGACTTAGAGACCAGCCTGGTCAGCATGGTGAAACCCTGTCTCTACTAAAAGTACAAAAAAAAAAATTAGCCGGACGTGGTGGTGGGCACCTGTAATCCCAGTTATTTAGGAGGCTGAGGCAGGAGAATTGCTTCAACCCAAGAGGCGAAGGTCGCAGTGAACTGAGATTGCGTCACTGCACCCCAGCCTGAGCAACAGAGTGAGATTCCGTCTCAAAAAAAAGAAAAAAAGCCAGTGTGAACAGCCCAAAGCCTCTGGGCTCTGTGTGGAGGCCGTGCTTCTGCAGCTGTCCCTTTAGGTTACTCTTCTGGGATGGAACTGACGCTTGGGGGTGTGGGGGGAGACAGAGGAAGAAAATCGTCAGGCCTAAAATAAAAGTGACTTTTCCATCTGTGTCGTGGAAGAAGCTGTTAATTCACTACCATTCTCCTGGCACCCCTTACGTGGAATTGGAAATCCATGCACATCCCAAGAACCTCTTCGGCCACTGGAAGTGCCAGCCTCGGCTCCAAGACCAGGCTCCTGCCCCACTTCTGGGCCTCCCTCGTGCCCCCCCATTCTCATCCTGGGCCTTAGGGCTTTGGCAGCAGGAGATGGAGTCTGCAGGCTCTGTTCTTATTCTCCCCAGCCCCCAAATCAAACAGCGAATGAGCTTTGGTGGGTGGCTGCACTGGGAGGGCCAAGCAGCACCATCTGCCTGAGTTCTCGCTCTCTGAACCCGAGATACCACAGGAGGAGGGGAGGTCCCCATCAGCCCTAATGGCAAGGGGCCAGGAGGCTGGTTCCTAAAGGAAAGCAAGCTACCCACCCCACTGAGTCCGATCCTAACTGGAGTACGGGCCTCACAATGTTTACGGGAGGCTTAAAATCCAATTCTTTCGTATCCTCCCCGATCTAATCACTTATCTTCCTGCAGCACTTTTGTACTTAAATTTAAACTTGTTTCAATATTGCCAGCTTTAGTCAATTAGCTTTAGCTTTAGTCATTTCAACTGTGCATTCACTCAGCAAATGGCAAGCAAACACCAGGTGCCATTCTAAATGCCGGGGACCCAGCGGTGAACAGAACAAAGCAGCCCTGCTCTCAGGGTGCTGGCGTTGGGTGGGGGACATGCAACACACACACGAAAGATACATACACACAATGATGCTGGTTGGCATCCGTGGCTTGGAGGAAGGGTGGTCAGGGGACGCTGGAGCACTGAGGGACTTGGGGAGCCTGGTAGAGACCTGAGGCCAGGGAGCACTGCTGTCTTCTAGGTTGAGCAAGGAGCCCAGGGTGCTGGAGTGGGTGCAAGGCCCAGGGGCTAGGAGTGAGTATGGAGAGGCAGGTGGGGGAGAGAGAGAGGCAGATCAGCCGTCCTGGAAGACTGGGGCAAGAACCAGGGATGAAGAGAAGCCACAGGACTTGAAAACAGGGAGTGTCACAATCAAAGGCAGCCAGGTCCTCAACAACAAAAAAAAACCAACAAAATCCTGTATCCCCAAACTATGGCATGTCCATTTCTGATTTTAAAAACATGCACATTTTGTTGCTCCTGATGACAGTGTGAGCGCAGGACGCAAGCAGACCGGCGTTCTCTCAAAGACTGACGCTGCCTCTCGCTGTGAAAACCGTGTGTCTAGGGGGACTGAGAAATG